TCGAACGAGGCTCAGACGATAAGTTTCAATCCGGCGGACGTCATCCCCACTGTTTGGGAAATCGTACACATATTTCGCAGTCCATGTAGTGAGTTGGGAGTCCAGTTCTGGACGAGCCAAAGTAAACCTGTGGCGATGGGAGTAGATTTCCACAGATGGGAAAAGTTCAGAAATCTGTTGCCTTCGGACGCTTCTCTAAAACACATGCTGTCAGCTTTAACCGAGTCATGTTTTTGTCAGCTTGGATTTGCAGCGGTAACCGTCCTTGCAGGTTTTGATTCGACCTCTCGAATCAAAATCATACCTCCGTTTTTGCCACAGAGCGGAGCTTTAGAGGGGGAGGATGGGAGAGAGACTCGGAGATGGCCGGCCTCAGGGAGTATTCGATACCCCGAAGTGGCGACAAGCAGCTGGATTTTCCGCCATTCGAGTACCATTGTGTCAGATGACGCACCTCGCCTTCAGCTGCTGCACAGCTGGTCGATGCCGACGCTGGCATGTGATGAACTGCCATGACTCAATATTGCGCCATTGGACGAGCTGCAGCACTGCGGTCCCCCTCTAAAGCTCCCAAATCCTCTCTCTCTCTCTCTCTCTCTCTCTCCACCTCCACTCTATTCTGCCAGCAGCAACTATGCGTACAACCAGTACTAATAGTTGCATTACCCTCTCTTTACTATCTCATTACCCTCTCTTTCCTTCTCCAGAGGGCAGACAAAGAACGTGACAGATAGAGCTCCTTCTTGTTGAATGGATTCGTCGATCGATCAGAACGACAATCTCTGAAATCTTCGATCATCTTGAAGCTACGTACGGTACCACTGATAACTGTATGGTCGGTTTGAGTGGGCGTGACCTGCCTGCCTCGATGGCTTGTCAACTACTTGTGTACAACTGCTGCTTTCAAAGTGACATCGCACCATCTCCAATCCTGACTCTTCAACCGACCACACACGAACTTTCAGAACGTGTTCAAAGGATTTCAAGCACCGCTCATAAATGCCCGATCTACATGGATGGTTCACCGCTCATAAATGCCCGATCTACATGGATGGTTCAAGCGATGATGGCCAAGGTTCATAGAAGCTCTCTGGTATGGACGATTGTAAGAAAGATCGTACTCTCGTGACATTGATTGTGCTCGACTGCAGGATAACGTCGCTCCTTACAATCTCTTAATGGTCAAATCTGATTCCGTCTTTCCGCTGCGTTTCCCGATCACAGCGACGACGATTCTCCGTGCCACCGACGAGTTCGTTATTGATACTGAATCGCTGAACTGCGGTCCAGACTCTTCTGACGTGCAAAAATTTGTTCTGCGGGTCCATGTGAGCAACATCTTCCATCAGTCGCCCATCTTCATATAAATTTCACCTTCTGTATTATAGACGAGATCCCTCTGAAGCATGAAATGTTTTATTTGTGAGCTTGACTCCGAAGAACGAGTGAGAAGTATGAGATGAGATAACAAGCTATCAAATGGATTGCACTCAGCTTTCGTCCCGTTGAATGAAGTGCTTTCCCAGCCAGCTCTGCCCACCGAGCACAGGCTTCCTCAGCTTTTGGGACGCACGGATGCAGCCACTTGCGAGGACAGGCCAGGCCATGCCAGGCCGTCCATGGTGCAAGTGTAGCGCAGATTTGATGATTCCATATGGACGCAGAATCTTTGATTTTGGGCGTTTCTCGTACTGTGCGAGATCCCACATTGACCAGTCAGTGAGTGAGTCAGTGAGTTACCGATTACCGGGTGGTTTACTATTACCGATTGACAATTCAAATGGCATAAGGTGTGAACTACTTTGGGATGTCAAGATTGATTGTATGTTAATAATTTGTATCACATGTGATCGTGTGGTCCTCGTTCGCAAATTCGATCTGTACAGACAACTTGAGGAAGAGAGTGGAACGAAGAGTCCGGAATGAGTCCTAGAACGTACTGGGAGCAGCAAGAGAAGATAAAAACCGGGATTGAAGAATGGAACGAAAGAAACCCTTGAGCAACTTTGCTGGGAGCTGCTCAAGTGCTAGCAGATTGGAATATGGATCTCCTTGACGTCGGCGACCTGATAGTGCTCGTTCGGGCCCAACATGGTCCTCGGTACATGCATGAATACAAGACGTATAGCACCCGACTCTATGTCGAGGCGTTTCTCCACCTGGGAGACAACAGGTGGAGGGACGTGGGTAGAGATGGATTCTCATTTGATTTTCATCGTGGCATACGAGATATAGAGAGGATTCACAGAAAATATCCCTCGCTCAGCAACATTCCTCAGCCCGGGGACATCAAAATTTCGCTGGATCAACAATTCCAGGCCTTCGATCCCAGCGTAGGTCGAGGTGGGTACATTCAGCTGCATCAAAACTGCCCATCTGTGGGTGCTGATATTCAGGGAGATTCCGAAGGCTGCAAATATCAAAGGCAATGGGCGAACTCGGGTAACCCCATCATCTTAAGAATGGGGCGACTTGAACACTGGCGCAGGTCGGTATACACACGAAAACGACGAATTTGAGGAGAGTGTAAATAATGGGGTTGAGCTAACACCCAAGCTTGCCAATAACAGTGATCACTCAAGCAGGAGAGTGAGTGAATGGTAGAACATCACTCTAGATGCGTGCACAGGTCATCGAAGGGTGCGAGGTGTACATAATCGAAAAAAGTTGGGAATGTTCCATAAAGTAGTGAGAAAGTATAAGGGATAGCATCCATAGTATACAGAAGGGAACCTCAAGCAAATTGAAATGCTTACAAGTATCCACGTATCTACTGTTACTGTTAGTATATGTATGATAATGACTTATGTTTTATAAAACACAAAAGAATCAACTCGCGTGATAAACCTAACATATTAATCTAAATGATACTTTTGTAGATTAGAATGATGGTACCTAGTTCATTCCATGAACATGATTTTAGATGAGAACATGTTCGCATCGACAGTTCGATATAAACCCTACGATGCAGTAACAAAGAGTGGTCTAATGTGCAAGAGTAATAGGCCAGTTTGATAGAACCATACATGGTGTTTTTTGGGGAATCATGTAGAGGTCAGTTTAACAATACCTGTTACTCAACAAGTAGCTCAATCTAGTCACAAATATATGTATGGGGAAGTCGCACTAATTTCAAGAACTAGTAATCTGTGATAGTATTTTGATGTGGATATTGAAAGCATATATGTAAGACTCTTCTTATGGAGGGATCTGATTTAATTTCTTATGAAGTTTTAGCTAAGTTTGCAGATTTAGATATGTAGGATAATCTTGATGTTATTAAAAAATTTGTCAGAACGTAAAATTTTCACCTCGTCATTATAATTCAGTGTGAATCATAAACCCACTACCATAATTCTACAACGAAAAGACTAATCACACAAGGTACACATTGGCCATTTGCACACAAAATGGCAAATTTGTACTTAGCTCAACACACCGAGCCAATGTAATTGACATCAGAAGAACATGGAGCTAGTTCGAGTGTAAGGAATTTGTAAACTGCAGTCCAAACTCATTCAAGATTAGCTACAAAGCAAATGTACATGGAATCCGTGTTTCATGAAAGTACTTTTCTTGATGAACCTATTTGATAGAGCTGCAGTGTGCATTATATATATATGTCAAGGTTTCATGTCTAATCAAATAATATTCCAAAAATTGTTTCCATTCACATAAAAATTGTACAGTATTTGGTCAATTTTGTACTAACTCTAGTTTTTTAATAAAATAATTTTCGTTATTTACGAACATATTTTTAAATATTCATCTTTTCTAATTTCCTCAACCAATTTATTTCAAATTTTTTTGTGTTCAAACATTCATTAAAATTATTATTTTCTTTTTAAAATAATTAAATTTTTTATTTAATTCTACATAATAATATTTAAATAAAAATTTCCAGATAGAAATTATATCATAAGTAGGTATTTTTTTTGGGAATTATTAATATAAAATTAATTTTATTAAAAAAAATTTGTTTATTTTTATTTTCTTAGAGTTTTTTAAGTAAAATCTATACAACTTTATATTTTTTCATAATTTATTTTAAATTTTTGCGTATTCAAAATGTATCACAAATAAAAAAATAAATAAATAATTATTTTAAAAATCGAAAATCGCTCTTTGATCTTTAATTTTATTTTATATTTATTTCACTTCTTCATATATTATTCTCAATTTACTCAATCATCGAATAAATATATTTTCATCCTTATACATTTCTGTAAAAAATTATTTTTATTATGCTGCATTAAATATATATCATATATCTCAAAATTTCATGTTAAATCAAATAAAATTCAAATTTTTTTTTCATTCACATTGAATTTGTACAATATTTTGTCATTTTTGAAATTACGATATTCTTTAAAAATAAAATTACTTATATTTTTAGTTTCTAGAACATGTTTTTATCTGCAATTTTTCCAAATTTCTTTAATCAATTTATTTCAAATTTTGTTTTGTTCAAACTATCTATTAAAATTTTTTTTTATCTTAATTTTTTTTTATTCTACATCAAATATAAACTACATAACCAAGGTTTCAGGATTTACATAATAAGATTTCAATAAAAAATTTCGGATAAAAATTATTAAATATCTTGTTATTTTTTTTGGCAATTCTTTGAAAACTATAGTTCATTTTTTTTTCAAAACGACATTATTTATATTATGTTCTAAAATATCCTTCAAATTTTCATATATTTTTTTTCAATTTCTTTGACTAGCTTATTTAAGTTTTTATGTGTTAAATTATTTTAAAAAATTATTAATATTATTTTTTATAAATATTCCTTATTGAAATATAAATCATATGCCTGAATGCTTCATGTTTTTTAGAAAAATAATTCAATAATTAAATTTTTTATAAGAGATTGCTGAATATCTGATGGCTGTTTTTTTTAATTTTGACTTTTTTTAAGGTTTATTAAATTTTTTTTAATATATCTATATTTGTTTCAATTTCTTTATCTAATTTTTTTAAATTTTGATGTGTTCAAATATTTCATAAAAAAATACACTGTATATCTTATTAAAAGTATATCATACATCTCAAGCATACATCTCCTTAAATACATCTCTAGTAATACATCTCTTAAACCTTCGCCATCCTCGGCGCAGTTCTGGCCGGCACCATGCTGCTCTGCGCCGTCGTCCTGCGCACCCCTCCCAACGACTTCACCGTTAACGGGCTCGACGTCCGCGTCGAGAAGGTGACCGACCACGACGCCGAGGGCGTCGCCAAGGACGCTGCGGCGTCGTGGTCGGAAGCGGACCTGATTGAGTCGCTGCGTTCGCCGGCCTTCTTCTTCAAGTACCTGATGTTCTTCGCGAAACAGATTTTCGGGCTCGTGGCGCTGTCGCGCCTGTCAAACATGGCGCAGGACCTCTTCGGGCAGTCGCGAACCGAGGGCGTCAACGTGGTGTCGATCAACGGCGTATTCAACTGCCGGGGCCGACTGTGTCTGCCCATGCTCGCCGACGTAGCGATCAAGACGCTGAAGACGAACCCGCCGTTCGCGCGCAAGCTCGTCTTCCTCTTCAACCTCGTAGTGCAGATCGTCGTGGTGGCCGTTCTGCCGCACCTCATCAACCGCGACAATTACGACGGCTTCCGCGCCGTCATGTGGACGCTCACCTTCACGTACGGGGGTGGGTTCGGCACCATCCCGTGCTTCCTGACCGACATGGTCGGCCCGTACAACATCGGGGCACTTCACGGCATGATCCTCACCGCCTGGTCCATCGGCGGCGTCGGCGGCGGCCTCGGCTTCACCTCCGTCTTCGACCGGGACAAGCCCTCGGCCGCCGGCGCAACATGCCGGGAGCCTTCGACAAGGCCTACGAGAGCAACTTCCACAGAATTCTGGCCGTGCTCGTCGTCGGCCTCGTGATGCTCTTCTTCGTGCGCACAGATCCGGCCTCCCGATCGGCTCCCGGCTACAGATTCAGCGTTTTCAGCAAGACGATCGTCCACTTCGCGCGGTAGAGTGAAAAACGAATTCGAGGCATTGACGCGGTGGTTCTGTCGAGAAGGTGGGATCTGAGTTTTGAAAGTGGAGATCGGAGATGGCGAGTGTCCCCTCCTCCTGACCTGCCTCGGCTGAAGTGCCCCTCAAATACTTTTAATTACAGGGTCCGGCGTTCGAATAAGATCTCCGTGCCAGAGGCTTCGAATCTCGCTCGATTGGGTATAGGAAGACGATTCATGGACACTTTCGCATTCAGACAATTTGCGAGAGAATTAGACAGTTCCGATTCGATAGGTAGTCAAAACTGAAGCTTGTGACATTTCGTACCTGGCTGTGCCAATAGGACTGCGCAGGCAGATGTCACGGGCGTCGGTCAATTCACTTCAACAGGTGTACTTTTAGTCGAACGTGGCTCTGAAGAGAATGGAGAGAGAGAGCGAGAGAGAGAGAGAGAGAGAGAGAGAGAGAGCAGGCGAAGCAGAAGACAAGTAAGGGAATCTGGGATATTCAGAAGTTCGATCAGGACTGTGCGACGAATTGAACAACCTACAGCAGTATGAATCACCTACCATGCGAACGAGGAAATTAGACCGAGCAGTAGAATACAGTATATTCGGAACTGGGCTCAAATCTAGCAAGCCTTTTCGGCTCGAGGACTTTTGCAAGCTCATCCTCTCGCGTGTTCGAAAATTTTCAGAAGGGCGGACAACGGACTACTTCTCGTCTACTGCAGCAAATAATTCTACGAGGCGTTTTCCCTCAAAATGTACCATCTTGATAATGCATGTTCGCTGGTCATTCGTGGTCGAGAGCTCAAGCCTTAAAGCACGAAGACATCTGCCTATGAGAATCATGCAGATGCTCAAGGTCATCCCTCCTGCTTGGAAAGAGGACTGAGTGAACTGGAGTCCCTTGTGTGCATGTAGAAGCACTTACCCCGCCTCTCATACCTGGATTAATACTACTTAGCATACCTGCTAATCAAGTTTTACTTTTAGGCGATAAATCGCTAGATGATGATGAGAATAAGTGAATTATGTTTTGCACAATATCCCGTGACCTCAAATTCACTTTTACATGAACAATGTGAATGACAAGACCCTCTTTGCTTCTTGTCCAATCATAACAGCACTTGTTCGATAATATGAAAAACAGTATCCTACTTCTGGATAAACTGCTCCTGTTCTCGCACCATATTCTCCAGCCCGAGTCATCTCCAAGTTCACTTGCTTCGCTCTATCATCCTTCTCATTTTGATCCGGGCCACCTTGATCATCTCCGACATCTTCTACCTCCTCCTTTGGTTTCACAAGGGCCTCCTTTCTTTTGCCTTTTGCGAAGTTTTGCGGCTCGTAGTCTCCTTCCGCTTTCACTTTCTTGTTACTTGCTTCTGGAGCCATACCAGGTTGTGTACTCTCTCTATATATCTTTCCTTCCTCGCTGGGTCTTTCTCGTTCTACCTCATTTTCATATATCTAGTGAACCCTCTGGTGAGCTTCAAATCTATGTGCCAGAGGAAGGTCACAAAGTGGGCGGGATGCATACTGTATCAGGACCGGCCACAGGGCCGGCAAGAAATACAAGATCGAAAACGAAAACATCAGCGTCTCCCAGAAAAAAAGATAAACTTGTTCCAAAGCATGCTACACGATCAAGGAGGTCGAGAGCTTCAGTCACTTCGGTTACTGATGCGCCTCCCACAACACGAAATCGCTCGACAGTATCGCCCTCACGGGATGCCACGCAGACCTCGCCCTACAGTCTGGGCTCCCAAACCAAGCTGCTCTCTCCAATCGCGAGCACATCTTCCACCGCTGTGGTGTAACGAGGTCCACGCAAGCATGCGTATCAGACAAATGTCGACTCTATATCAGAAACTGCAGCAGAGTTTGAATATCACGATCCATTTATGATCAGCTTCGAGCCGTCACAAGATCTAGGTGCTTCCAACATGTCATTCGTCAAAGATTCGTGAAGCCTCCGGTCTGAAGCTTCAATCTCCACCGTACAATACCTGGCCAGCGGTATATTAATCTCAGTGATCCTTTGGAGCACACCGTGCAGGACAAGGATTTTCCACAATTCAAGCCACCGCCTTCAAGCGCCCCAGAGCTGCTGGGGCGCTTGAAGGCGGTGGCTTGAATTGAGGAGCAAGAGCTGCGATAGAGCTTATTGAGTTACTAATAAGCTCTACCAGATATAGTAAACAAATGAAGGGCTCTGTTGCCAAGGTTTTAGTCGAAGGTGAAATGCTTAAAGATGTGCTCTTGCTGTGAAAAAAAATGAAGAACTGGCCTTCTCCCGCTAGCATTCGCAGAAACTGGGAGGGAAGTTGAATACGGCTCCGAATGCCATAGTCTGTAACACCAGCGCGGTCTTTTTTTGAACTTGGAATACAGAACACTGTCAAGTTCTTGGTATACCTCCGTAGGCTAATCTTGTGCCTGCGGACTGTCCACCTGCCCAGGAAGAGTTCGCTGGCTTAGTAGATAGTTGTAGTCTGGCATCGCATCCTGGACAAGCTTTGCAAGATCTTCGCCATCCCCTTCACCAAACTCTGCTTTCCACTTCACCTTCTCAATGTCAAAGTCAAGACCTCGGGCAACCAAGCCTGGGATGACAGACGTGGACGCATTTATGGTGGAGAGAAAGATCGCCTTCAACGGGTCCTTCTCTTCTCGGATCTCCCACTCGTACTGGACAGCATCGGGGTCCATGCCCGTCTCGATACAGAGCTGTCGAACTACAGCTCTGTCGTTGATAATGTCATCAGCATCGATTACCTTCGGCTTCACCTCACCTCCATGGTTGAGGTACCAGTCGAACAAATCACGAGAATATCGCAGCGTCAGCATCGCCGTGACTTCCAGGTCGCGTGGACGGGCACGGCCGTTGAGCTTGATCATAGCGCGGAGCATCGACGGAAACATGAGTACTGGGTGTCGGATCTGGAAGATGGGCTGCATGGAGAGCAGTAGACTGTCAGGCATGCTCGTGGGGTTGGTATGGGGAGACTTAGGCGCGTTGCGCTCATAGACGACGAGGGGGTCCACTTCATCTCCATCAAAGGTGCGGGCGAAGAGTTTGTCCGGACCTGACAGGAACGAAGTGTGTTCTTTCATAAAGACCTGATTGCCCTGCAACCACGAGAATGGTTAGCACATTGTGGGTTATACACAGGTTATGCACGCCATTTCGCGTCAGGATTGGTAATGCGCCACAACCGACATATATACTTCACCTCTTCTCTTGCCTCTCGCACTACAAAAAAAAAGAGGTTGTGCCTGGGCTTACATTCTTTCTTGCATCTGCCAGTTCGTCTTGAACCTTGTCAAATCCAGCCCGGAACATGTCATACAAGACCTCGCGCTCCTCATCCGACCATTCACTCAAGCGACCTTTACGCAGCTGCGATCTCGCCGCAAGTCCTGCATCCATCAATTTGTACTCTGAGCTCTGGCAGCCCGGCTGCTTTGCCATCATTCTCTGGAGCAAGTTGGACGCGGACCGTATCGTGGATGCGAGAGCATGTACACCCCCCGGCATGCTGGCGCATCGCTTGCGACTGGCGTTTGGATTCTTCCTGCCATAGTGGTGTAGTATCGTGGATGCGAGAGCATGTACACCCCCCGGCATGCTGGCGCATCGCTTGCGACTGGCGTTTGGATTCTTCCTGCCATAGTGGTGTAGTATCGTGGATGCGAGAGCAGGTACACCCCCCGGCATGCTGGCGCATCGCTTGCGACTGGCGTATGGATTCTTCCTGCCATAGTGATGTAGTATAGGATCAGTCGAAGTAGTTCGACTCGCTTAGTTGCACAAACTTTTACAAACGGCCGTACTGCCAGGTGTCAAGGATTCCAGTTTCTTTCTCCTCTTTCTTTCTTTCTTCATCCTCCCTTCGGGCTGCCCCGGATCAGCCGGATTTTATCTCAGTTTTGGGAACGGGGAGGCGGGGCACTTTGCGGGGAGGGAACGGGGAGGGCACTTTGCGGCAACCATGTAGAGGCCGCAACGTTGTATCTAGTGCGTTGCAATGATCGCAGTCGTGTCGTGGAACGTTGTGGGAAAAAGAACTAAAACTGAACTGCAAGAGGGATAGCTCAGATGGAATCCCTAATGTTCAGACTGTAATATTTGTAATGAAACGGTGATAACAAATTGAGGCGACGAAATTTTAAGCGGCAAAGATTAGGGTTTTTGAAAATAGAATCACATCAATATTCTCCAGCTCGTCGTTTCGACGTTGCTTTTGGGTGCCAGTGTCAGTGCTTTGAGGAGCTCGTGCCAGAGCTCGTGCTTGTACTTTTCTTGTCATTTCAGGTGCTTTTGCAGGTGTGGTGACAGCATGGAGGCAGGATGGATTGTGCAGGACCCACCTTATGAAGTCCCTTTCAATTCGTTAATGTTGAATTGGTCAAATGGGACGGCCTACATCAAAAGCTCGAGGCTTGACGATTTTGTTTCGGGAGAGGGATCTTGTCATAGTGATGCGAAGACAGAATTTGTGACACGTTGCTCATACAAGGGTGGAGTTACTAGGCACAATTGGGAATCGTATGCAATGTATTATTGCAAGTATGGTACTCCAGAAAGGGGCAAGAAGAGTATGCTTTCCTCGAATTTTATTCAAGATCCATCAACAAAGGCAAAATTTGGTCCTGGCAGCAGGAATAGACTAGATCATGATTCGCATCACAAGGGCTGTCAGTGCAGGTTTAGTGCCATTAAACTGCTGTCTAATGATCACATTCCACCAGGAATCACAAAATTGATATACAAGCATAGAATACACGTAAATGCTGCAGGTGTAACTTGTCATGGCACAGCGTGTTCGGATAGTGTTGGCTTGCCATCTCAAATGGTGCGCAATTTATCCTCTGAATGCAGGTAACGGCATATTTGTTACATTTTCAATATATTTGTTTATCGTTCACAGTCAATCTCCCGTCATATTTGTAATATCTACAATAAGTTTGTTGTTATTACAATTTGTAAAACTTTGACACTAAGCAAGCACGTTGTCTAATATTTTCTACGTTCTTATGCCAGGGAGTGGGTTGAATGCGAGTTAAGAAGAGGTTTAACTCCTCCACAAATTCTCATGCGTGCTGCAAAAGCACTGTTTGAAAATCATCAGCGCTTAGGCTATGTGCAAAGGTCCCCTATTAGAGATCATTATATCACATCTGCCGATATGTATAATATCAAATTGGAACTGGACAAAGAAATTTGGAGAAGGCATGCTAATGATAGAATTAGCACAGAATTATGGATGAAAGCGAATTCATCTCAAGTTGTTTTGTATCAGGCACCAAAAAGTGATCCATTTAAACCATTGAGGCTTGCTGTTACAAGACCCTTGCTCCTAGATTGGTTGCTAAAACATGGAAATGGAGGTTGTGTTGCTATAGATGGAACGCATGGCACGCAGAAGTATAAGGTAATATTCTACTACCACATTTTGATGTTTTTATCATTAGGCTTCCATGATTATGTATATTCTACCTTACTATTTGCAATCTCTGCAAGATATTTGAAAAAATGACGGTTTGGAGCTTTAACCAATCCAGTAAGAGATTATTGAACGTCTCAATGTGTGTTGTATATGTTGTTTTATATACCTTGATCACGTCTAAATTATCAAGACATAAAAATAACGAATCATTCATTTGTATCAGGTTTAGCTTAGTATCAATGAAGATGAATACTTTGTAGACGATTGCTAGCAGCAAACTGATACGTTTATTTCATTTTTTGCAATGCAGTATCCACTGTACACCCTGATGGTGTTTGACGAATATGAACACGGACATCCTACTGTTTTTGGATTCCTCGAAAGAGAAGAAACAGAAGATCTGGTGGATTTATTATCTGCAGTGAAGAAGATGGCCCAACATTATATCCCTGGATGGATGCCCTCGTGCTTCATGACAGATTGTGCTGACAATGAGAGACTTGCCCTAGACATTGTTTTTCCGCATATCCCTGTATTTCTTTGCATATATCATGTTCAAAAAGCATGGACAAAGAAATTGATTGAGGTTGTGAGTGGTCATGAAAAGAGAGCTATTATGAATGCTGCTTTAGAAGATCTGTGCTTTGGAAGCACATTAAATGCTGATGGAGAAGAATTTGATGTGGAAAGATCTGCTGCGATGAAGCTTCTGTTATTTTACAAAAAATTTCAGCTCTCTGAGCCACAATTTGTGAAATACTTTCAAACAGAATGGGAACCTTGTATGGGTAAGTGTAAGTTTGTAACATGTGCATTATATTTGAAGTTATTACATTTTGGAAGTTGTTTTTTGCTTAATGAACTTCCACAAGCACATCTAACTTACAATTTTTGGAATTCAGGTCAGTGGATTCGTGATGAACGGAGGAACACATGTCGTAACAATCAAGATACCAACAACGCTATGGAATCAATGCATGGACACATGAAGGATTTCCTTTATGGCTGGCGCAGGAATGCACATGAGCAACGTTTGGATCATACAGTATATGGTCTGCTAGGGGATTTTGTAATGAGAATTTGGTACAAAGATCAGAAGAAGCTACTTGGCTTTATTCCAAATAAGAAGAAAGATCAACGTGTGATTGTTGTGATCATGAAGACAAGATCTATGCTAACTGTCCCTGTTACTTGGCCTCATGACTATGCAGGCCCCGCATTAGTGGGCTCTACATCAAAGCTAAATAGAAGGTATCTTGTAAATTGGAGACGAGAAAAGTATGCATGCGAGTGCTTCTGGTCACTCCAAGGCAACTTTTGCAAACATCAGGTACAACTCAGATTGTAATTCTGTCTTTGATTGCATATATTGGTCGTATCTGTATTTTTTATTAACACTGCTTGATTCATGTGTGTCTAGATTCTTATTCTACGAAGGAAAGGATATTCCGAGACCAACATCCGCATTTGTTTGGGCATACGGTTTGGTGGAATACGAGGTGGAATCAAAGAGCTCTTTGATAAAGGTCCTTCATCACAGATATATGATTTCAATGAGGATCCAGTCCTTCGAAGAGAATTTGCAGATATTGAAGTCAAAGATGATCGCCATGACACCTTCAACCTTACAGAAGGTGCTTCAAACTGTCATTTTAATGTGCAATAATTGCATATATTTTGTAGAAATGACAGTTTGAGTGATGAAACTACCTAACCGTACATGTTCTATGTGTTATCAGATACGGACAGCCCTGTAAAGAAAGCATCTGGTCTTTCCTTCCTTCTGGAGGAGGAAGGAAAGACCAAGCGTGTTCTTCATACTCAATTGGTATGGCTGAAGGACTTTTTTGATAAAAATCCTAGTATGCTGAAAGTGGGAGAGCTAGAGCTCCGGCATTGCATTGGACGTATCAAGGAGTCTCACCAAGCATGGAGTACTGGTAGAATACTTCCTGTTGCAGACATGTGGCGTACATCCATGCTAGATAAGCCTAGCTCATCATTCAGGAAATTGAGTTGGCTTGAAAAATTAGCAGGCATTAAATGTCCTAAGCCACAGAGATTACTTGAAACAGGAGAAAGATTTAGAGCCCCTACCGCAGATTTAGGAAAGGTAGAAGAAGGAGCTTTACAGCTCAGACTTCGAAAGGGCAGGCAGAAGACCAAAAGAACTCGAAGTCTGATCAAGCAATTCCTTCAGGCAAGTGCAAATAGAGAAAAACGCAAAGAGGAACAAGCTAGAATTCTAGGAGAGACGATTGACTTGACTCTTTCTCCCTAAGTTGTTTGCTTGTGATGCATGAATGTTGTTTCAATTTCATAGTAAAATGAAATTTTGTCCAATTCCACATTTAGCTGATTTGCATGCGCTGATTACAGTTTGGAAATTTACCATGAACTCACGGTACACAAATTATTTGTTCAATGATGACAGTCAATGTTGCTAAGATGACGTTTCAAAATTAAGAAACTTGATTCTGCGTATTTTGATATTATTGAGATCCAACTTTTGATATATTAATGAATGTATCTGAGTGCTACTCAAGTTATATTAAAGGTGTGCTGGAAGAGACGTCTCTATGTAAGGTCTTTCTTGTTGGAGCTTGTTGGATTGCAAGAAGACGCGCCATCAGCTTGGATGTGACAGCTTGATATTCTTTAGTCAAAAGTCTTTGGAATTCCAGGAGCTGGAGGCAGTGAAATGTGCAAGGATGAGAAGTAACTTACAGCACCAGTTAGATCTTGCAAGACTTGAGCTTAGAATGTGTGATCTTGCTTGAATATTGACCCTCAGAACTTTACTTGTTCATTGCATATAGATTTACTTAAATAATGGGAAAAAAAACTCCTGTTTGAAGTTGAGGAATTAATCCTATCCATATTTGAACATGCACTTCACCTCTATATTCAATGACTGACTGGTATAGTCTATTAGACTGGACCATAGAATTTTTGGGTACACTTGTTATGATGAGGTTCAGAGCATTGCACGTAAGTAGCGATGACATTCATTCGTTGCATCTTTCAAAAAATACAAACTTTTTTGAAAAAAAAGTCACGTACACAGTAAAATCCCACATGTTGTATTGCCAATATGTTGAGGTTGGAGATAAATTCATTCGATACTTGTCATGGTTGTATCTGTTACGATCTTAAAACTTTGATGTTCATTATTAGACTGTATTGTGTATATTCATCTCATATGCTTCAATTCCGGCAAAAGTAAGTAAAACATTTTTTAAAGTCAAAGGTGGGTATGGAATCACAATTGATGATATTTCAGATGATAAAGAAGTTGTTAATATTTTGGCAATCGGACCTATTTTGACAAGTATGATATAATA